GGGGGGGGGGGGGAGAGAGAGAGAGAGAGAGAGAAACATCAATGTGATCATTAGGTTCCAGGGATATAAGGACACAAAAGACACATGGGACTCAAAGAGTTCACACGTCTGTAGGGCGAATGAATATGTACCTAAATAATCTCAATATAAAGACTTCTCATGCAAAGCTCTTCCAATAGCAACTAATATAAACTCAACTTTACTCTCCAGAGACTGCCTTCTGGAAGAAGGAAATACCCTTTGGAAGTGTGATCATGACTTAATGTAGGCCTCAGGTAAAAGTAAAACCAGAGAGCAATGCATAGGCTGGGCTTTGGCTAAGTGATGGTGATGAAGAAAGAGCTGTAACTTAATGGCACCAGAATTCTCCAAAATGATTTTGAGTAACTGGCAGTATTATATAATAGAGCAGAAAAAAGAGTGTGAGTAATTAAATGAATATTTTTATAGAAATTACTGATGAAAGCATTCCCACACTGTGCCTTCTCTTTTTAAAGAATAATAAGCTCTTATTTTAGCAATTACATAAGATATAACATTTATGGCAGCTGAGCATGAGAAGCAATCAGTGTTTTTTGCAGCCACGTTAAAAGCTGAAGTGAAGAAGTATTAATATATGTGTTGTTAATTTCATGTACTTTTAGTCAAATATTGCTATTACAGAGTAAGATATAAGTAAGATAATGACATCCGTTGCAGCCATGACATCTTTTCATTTGGGAATTAATAAATGCATTTGCAAGCATTTATTAATTCCCAATATCCTGGTCAGACACATTAGGGAAGTAAATGGGCACAGCAAGGTGAACAGCTCAAGGTCAATTAAAAAATCAGCAACAGATTTGGAAAAAGATATATTCTGGTTCTTGCTCCCAGTTTTAAGTTATAAGCCATACCCCCATCATGAAAAGTTTCTTTCTTAAAAGGATCTGTCACAGTTGTTTATCTTTGATGTTAAATAACAAATGATTAAATATAGTTCAATTAATGTAAAATGAGTTTAAAAAGTGAAGAAATTAAACTGAGCTGATTTTGTTTCAACAAGGACTCTAGTCCTATTTGTTAGTGCAGATTGAGAAAAAGCATTACTAAATTTTAGGGTTGGCAGGACCTATGATTGTCTGTATTTTCCCACACACTATTCTGCTTTTCTATGGACTGAGTTATTATGTCCAATACCTTTTTTACTCCTCAATCTTCCCTGCAATGCAGCTATTTTAATTAACAGAACTACTGTATTACTGAACACCAGTGAAATAACTAAAACCATAATTAGACATTCAGTACAGTGTATTATAACAAATCATTATACTTATATGGCAACAGAACCCTCTACATTCTACAGAGAATTGAAGAGTATAATAAACCCATATATCATAGTACACTTCATGATTATCACAAAAAATTACCACACAAAAAGGAAAATTTAAATGTTAGCAACACAAAATTCACAGCACTCTTTAGAAATTTAAGTTCTATATATTATTCTATTAAAAAAGTTACTAATTCCTGATATTACTTTTGATTTATTTTTGGACAAGAATAGTTAGTTCCAAGCAGAATTTGGTAAGATTTATAAACTTTAAAAAAAAAAAAATTTAAATGAAGCCCTGGATTACATGTGCTGGATTTCAATCAGTGACACCGAAGGTTTTCTTCCTAAATGCCTACCTGCGCATTGGCTTTCCTTCCATGCACCATGAAAAGTACCCTTCACCACACTCTAAAGCCGAACCTAAGACAACAGAAAAGGAGTAACTTAATAAAAACTATTTCTGATCTTCCCAGCAACCACCTCTGTATAATCGTTTCATTCAGTGATAAACAATTTCATGTCCTGTTATGACACAGGCCTTTTGCAGATGCACAATCATAACTTTTACCTAGTACCTTTCAGATGACTATCTTTACTCTGAACACTAAGATGGTTATAAGCGAAGGTGAGGGAAAGTGCCCTAAATAGTCCTGATCACTAGGTTAGTGTCTCTCTTCAAAAAGTGCTTGGAGACATTTAACTTTGACCTCACCATCAAGTACACCTACAGAGCATTCGCCAGATACCCACAGCAGTATTATCATGACAGATCGAATAGGGAAAGGGCTGCTTTAACAACGGATCTGAAAGCAATGAACTTGTCCAGAAGTGACAGAAGCAGGGGAGGCATTTCGCCTTTATAAACAACTCCGCTTCCGACAGCCGGGCAGCCTGAACAGTACAGAGAAACTCAGACTCCAGATTAACATTCTCTTTACCAGCCCTTCCCTGTCCCCGAAACAATGTCCACCACCCACTAGGCAAGATCTCGCTAAGTCCCCAGGGTTAAATGGGACGCTTCTTCCGACTTCCAGCCCCAGTCTGGGGAAGCTGTTCAGGGAAGCCCAAAGCACCCCCGGCAGGGAAGCCCAGCGCCTCCCGGGCTCAGGGGTGTGGCTGTCAGCCGGCTGACCGCAGGCCGCGCCCCAAAAGCCCCTTCTCGGCGCCGACTGACAGGCGGCGGGCGGAGCACGGCCCTTACCCCACCCGGCGACTCGGCAACTTGGGAGCACAGATTTGCAAAGCGAACCCGGGGCGCTCTCCACTATCGCTGCTCTAAGGCGGCTAACTTACCGGCTCGGACACTTTGCTTTTCCTTTGCCGCAGCCTCTCCTGCCTCCTCCGCCTGTCGCCTCCCCTCTGCCTCTTCCTCTGCAGCCGCTAGAGCCAGCAGGATACCGCTCCTCGAGCTACTTCCTCCCGGTCCCTCGCCCGGTGCAGCAACAGGAAGTGGTTCTCATCTTCAATCGTTCCCCTCGGAACCCACTTATTCCGCCAAGAGGTTCCGGCGCGGCTCAGGAAGTAGCCGCTTTCTTTGATGGGGATTCAGGTAACCTCAAGCCGTGCCTGTCTTCGCATCCAGTTCCTTGTGTCCCGAGAGTGACTCTTTTGCGAGTTCACCTTTACTGGCAGGATTTGAATACCGAAGCCGCCTCATCTCTTCCTGCAGCTGAAGGCAGGAGAAAGATGGGAGCAGTAACGGAAAGCTAGGAATTTTGATTTATTTGTAGCAGGCGAGTCTCCTATTGGCACAGCTTTGTCCCTCATGTGGATTGAATGATTGATGGACGCATGCATACATGGGGTCGACATATATCTTTTAGGCCCATACTATGTGCAAACTGCTGAGGATACACAGCCAAATAAGTAGACCAGATGGTCTGGATTTCCCACCCTTGAGCTTTCAAGACACCAGAGTTTTATCCAGGATTCTAAGGCTATGTTTCAGCTTGCCCTTTCAGTTAGTATTAACCACCAGCCATTTAACTGAACACTTCTGTGACCTTACTTTAGTCTTAGGGGTGAGGGTGGAGCGATCTTTTCAATTTGTCCTTTGCCAGAGTTTCCCACAGCACATTGCCACGTGACATTGGCAAGTCTGCCACGCCAAGGACAGGTGCTAGTTGGGAAAGAGTGGGGCCTTGACATATGGGATGGAGACATCTGGCTGAGTACACAGAGGACTGAATTCTGAGGATGTTGGAACAAAGGAGACAGAAAACAAAGTTAAATAAGGGAGACTTAATTCGGAAGCACTCTCCTGGGATACAGGATTTAATGACGGGGCAAGAAGTTCAGGAGAAGGTGCAAATATGCCGCCAGAATGGCTTTATAAGCATGGAGAGTGATGGCTCATACTAAACGTGGTCAAGATGCCAGGATTGCCATGTAAGACAGTGGAACAAAGGATTAAGAAGTTCAAAAAAAGCGAGCAAGCTAGAGTGGATATACAATGTAAGCCTGGAAAACCCACAAAGCAGTTACATTCCTTGGGAGGGACCAGAGGATACATTCTTTCTGCCCCATTCCCCAGCCCCAGCCCCTTTTTAAAAGTCGTCTGTTTTGGATCTTAAATAACTGGATCAAGAGGGAGATTGTTTCCAAGTTCCTTCCACTCCTGCCATAGTTGGCACTTGTGAGGTCTTAGGAAACGCTACTTGCCGGTGGCAGTGACCATAATCATAGGTGAAAGATCTCCAGGGGGCTAGAAAATTAAGCTGTCCGTTATAATTACAATCTTTCGTCGTTTTTACATTGCATCTTCGTATTTCTGGAAAATGCCTCCATTTAAAGGCCAAAGACAAGCTACCAATGTGCATACCTTACTTTTAAACTGTAAAATAAATATACACTTTATTACAGAAAACTTACAAAATAAAAAACCCGCACACCACCTTCCGACCCACAGAGACGGTAATCACGAAGATTTTAATCACTCCTCTCCGCCTTCCCGCTCATCCTTGCACCCAGCGATTTGGAGCTGCGCGCGCAAAGCTCA